CATCGCCAGAGCTCACTGCCTCATTGGCCGATAGAAGTGTCGTGGAATTCCTATCACATATGAGATTGAAAGATGATAGAAACCATTTCAACTCTCCACCTTTGGACAGTCATCTGTGGGTCAATCCTCTGGTGGGGACTGTCAAAATTAACTGTGTCGATGCATGGGACAAAGTTACGAACGCATGCTCTGCAGGGGTAGTGATAAGGGATCATGCTGGTAGTCTGCTTGATGGCAGTGCGCATTGTTTTCAGTCATCACCAGTTGTGCAGGCTCAACGTCATGCGATCTGAAGTGGATTAGAGCTGGTCCATGTAAGAGGTTTCACTAATGTCATTGTGGAAACTGATTCCAAGGTTTGTTTTGCTACTGTCCAGGGAGATATTTCTGTCTAAAATTGGACTCTTTACCCTCTATGACATTAGAATGCTAAAAGCTTCATTCTCCTCTCTCTGGTGGACATGGACTCCTCAAGATGCGAACCATGCAGCTGACTGGGTGGCTTCGCAAGCAAGAAGGGGGATGTGCGCCGAGGCTTGGGTCATTCGACCTCCAATCACCCTGGTCTTCATACTTTCACGGGATGGTGTACCTTGCCCACCGAACTTGACGCTTTCTAAGCTTTCTTCTTTCTGTTTTGTTGTTGTTTTGTTTACTGTTTTGTGACTGGCCTCTCTGGTTGGTCTTTGTTGTTTGTAGCCCTTTACTGTTGTGTTATTCTTCTTAATATAATACTCCTTTTACCCACCAAAAACACAAAAAAAAAAAAACCTTTAAATTTAAAGCTCGGAAAGTTCCTCTTGAACTCTAAAGGCGAAGATGGCCTTGAGAGCTTATCTGAAGACAAACACTATCTTGTCTTGTAGTTGTGACTTTTCATGCTACAATGGAGAGGCCTAAGAAATTAATAAGGAAATTGCATACAACAAGAATAACACTATCTGTTATTTTTATTTAATCGTGTCAGACATGATTAATTTGTCATGCATACAAATCTTTTATAAAAAAAATTAGGATTGAAATGAATTGGAATTTGGAAGTTTGCACTTTTTTCCACGTTATTAAGAAACTTTCTTGTGCTTCGGACATTACAAAATCTTTTTCCAAATCTTACCAACAGAGCAGGATTGAAAAAGTGATAGCCAATTGACTGGTGTCTTCAACTTTTTGGTAATAGCCAAGCCTAGAGACTGGTGCATGTCTTCGGGTTTAGCATTTGAATTGCTACCTACCGTTGCGTTTCAGCAAGTGAATTGGTCCTTCAGACTAAAAACAAAAAGATAACTGACAGTTGACAGATAACGAGTGAAAAAAGTCTTGTGTCTATCCATCCATTGGAATATGAACATGAGAGAGGTAGTTTGCAGAGAGCACGTGAATGCTTATCACTATTGAGTTTCTAAAAGTTCAAAAAGAAAAGAAATAGAAAAGAAAAAGAAAAATTCACACCACCTCTGCTATATAAACATAAAGCCACATATTTTACACCCATCAGTTTTCATCATCGATTTAGAAGTCTCTAATTCTTTGGTGATCTTTTTGGCTATAAAATTAGAAAGGAAAAACTCTCTAATTCTTCACCTCATACATACATCAAGCGGCCAAAGCCTAAACAGAGAAAGAAAAGTCAGGTAAGTTTTTCTTTAATTTTTAGTTTGACAGCAGGATTTATGACCAAAAGGAAGATAATTAAAAATATTGATTTCATATTTGTTTTATCAATTTCAGTGCGTCAGAAAAGATTCTTGGGTTGGGAGGATCATCATATTTGGAGTGATCATGTTTACCATTTCAAAGGGATTTGCTGTTATATCTGCAACTAAGAACCTCCAACTACCGTTCATAGAAGATATATTTGCATCAGGGCGCACAAGATTTTTGGAATGGGTGGTTTCGGAAAATCAGGTATTTACTTTCAACCTTTATTTTATTTGCTCAAATGATTAGCGTATTTTTTTTTTTCTTAATCTGTGAATGTTTTGAATTAATTTTTGGTTGACCAATATCTTTCTGAGTTTAAAGAAAATAAAATTCTATTCCATTTGCTGTGTCAGTTTTCTTTGTTATGTCTTCTCGTCTATTCGTCGTGAGGTCTAAGGTCTATAGCATTAAAAACCAAAAAAAGGTCTATAGCATTTTGCTTGTTATATGTAAGTGTGCAAGTTTGTCCTGGAAAGTGATATGTTTAGGAAGTTGCTGCTTAGAGCAACTCCACCCATTTGCCCTTAGTCATGGCAAAGGGGGAGTTAGGGTAACCACTATTCACGTGAATAGTAGTGGCCCTTACAAATAGTATTTTGTGTTTCCATCTGTTGCTATGGCTAAGGGCAATTACTATTCTTTTTTTTATTTTTTTAACAAATATTTTTACCTCAATAATTAATTTGGATAATATTTTCGAATAAGATTTCCTGGTTCTTACGTGTCAAGACTATTCATAATCGGATAAAATTTCAGGATAAGATTTTTGGGTTCAAATTTCGGATGAATTTCAAAATTCAAATAAGATTTTCATCCAATCAAATCAAGCCACGTGACATGTCTATCTTGCCAAAATTTTCTATAAAACCAGAGGCTCATCTCATACCTCTCACACTACATCTTTCTATATTTTCATTTCTTAGAGTTTAGGATTCATACTCCATTCATTCTCAATGGAAAATTTTAGGAAATGCTTGGAGAGGCAAGAGCGAAAAACAAATGAGAGAAACCGTAGAGCAGATGAAATCAATGAGTTGCAGAGACAAGTTGATGAACAAGTTGTCATAGCAGTGGCTTTGGAAGATGAAGAGAACCAAGGTCGCCGCCATAGTTCACAAGTCGGCCACCGTCGGAATGTGGACAGACATAGGCATTCTTGGGATAAGAATCTTTTGGAAGATTATTTTATCCAAACTTCTTTGTACTCTGATGTTGATTTTCGAAGATGATTTAGAATGCAACCTCATTTGTTCAATAAGGTCATGCATGATATTTGCAATTATGACGCATACTTTGTTCAAAAGTGTGATGCTGCTGGGGTTTTGGGGCTTCTTCCATAGCAAAAGCTTACAGCTGTTATACGAATGTTGGTGTATAGAGCATCTGCTGATCAGGTGGATGAGATTGCCCAAATGGGGAAGTCCACTACGTTGGAGGCTTTGGTAAGATTTTGGGAATACATGAATTACTACAGCAGTTCAGGGGACTGGGGCCCAGCAGGGGTAGGGCAATACGGGCCGGAGCCAAAGTCAGATTGGTGCTTCGTCCTCTAAAGTAGGATCATCATCCAGTAGTGGGATACAGTCGTCTTTCAGGGGCAGGGGTGGTAGACATCTAAGGGGCCAATCTGGGCGTTCTACTACTCAGGCCCGAGTGTTCTCAATGACCCAGCAGAAAGCACAAGCCACTCCAGATGTGATCACGGATATGATTCCTATCTTTGACTATCTTGCATGTGTTCTAATTGATACGAGTGCCACACATTTATTCATAGCACATAACTTTGTACTGTACGTCAGTGTTAGACCCACACCCATGACAGGAAGTTTTAGTATTTCTTTACCTACGGGAAAAGTCTTGTATGCAGACTTGGTGTTCAGAAACTGTTATGTCCAAGTAGGCAATGCATAGTTGGAAGCTGACTTGATTCCTTTGGACTTGGTTGATTTGGATATTATATTGGGAATGGATTGGTTGGAGAAGCATCATGCATCAGTGAATTGTTTCCGGAAGGAGGTAATACTTCGGAGTCCAGGGCAACCTAAAGCCAAGCCAAGCCAATTGATGGTCGTTTCATGACCCGTATGATTGAACGATATACGAAGATGCAATCGTCTTAAATTCATGAACGATGTCAAGTTGACTTGATAGAGCATTTATGGGCGGTGAAAGGCAATAACGGTGAATGAAGTGAAGTGAAGATGTTTTTTATAAAAAAAAAAAATTATGCTTAGGTTATGTTTTATTTTTAGTTATGCTTTGGTTGTGGTTTTATTTTTTATTTTAATGCTTTGGTTGTGGTTTTTTATGTATGGAATGTTTTGAATAAAAATGTCTTTTATTGAAGGTAAATAGCTTAAAATGCCACCCATTTTATAATTTTTTGTCAAAATACCACCCCTCCCCAAAATTTGTAAAACTACCATCTATAAATATATCTTTATTTCGAACTTATTGTACTCATATCAGTTTTTAAGAAATTGGCTTCTCTCTTTAACTCTCTTGGCTCTATCTCTTCGGCCCGTCTCTGTCCCTCGTGTACCTCTCTCTCTTCGACGCAATCGTCGTTCTCCCTCAGCGGTGGCTGTTCGTCCAAGCATAACTCCACCGTTGACGCTGAAGAAAAAACCAGCACCTCTATAGAAACATTGACGAAACTGCTACCCTTCCGTCGTCTTCTAAGGCAAGCATTACCTTTTTTCCAATACATACGTCATAATACAATAGGAAAATAACTGCTGTACTTGGGAAATATTTTGGAAATATTGTAACACTTGCATTATAACTAAATGCAGGGTAAACTCGCGTCCAATGAGTTACGCACTTTCAAGCGTGACTTATAAAGGACAAAGGAAGAATTGGCCAATGTAGCCCATTCAAATAGAGCGCTTCGCAACAGAGTGCATGAGTTGGAAGAAATGGTACAGAAGGAGTCATTGAAACTTGAAAGAGAGTTTGCAAAACATAAAAAGTGCGTGGAGGATTTCGGCAAGACCCTTGCTTCAATGGAACACTATTTTAAGCTGGAGATAGAGCAGTTGAAAAAAACGAAATGGTGGGTTGAATGAAGGTGGGGAAGGACATGAGGACCTTGGTAGTCCTCATATGAATGAAGGAGGCGACAATGACTTTGTCGCCATTACATGACTATGTCAGTACACCTACAGAACCGGCAGCAATTGAAACACAAGTGCCCGGTGATGGAGCCGAACCCTTCGCAGCCATGGTAGTCGAAGAGGTAGAAATGGCCGCTTCAGTTCCTGACTTACAAGTGCCTGAAGCAGCTGAGCAGGCAGATTTCGAGAAGCTGCCTACCCCGGAAGATGTGGCCGGGTGTGACGAAATCTGAAATTGGTAGAAGGTTGGAAAAAAAATTGAGAGTATGCCATCGGGAGGTCTAATGAATCTTCCAAGTATACCCAAAGTTAGTATGGCTGTTGATGAAGAAGGTAGTGCGAGTGATGAAAAAAAAAGAAGTGGAAGGTAAAGGGTGCAGAAAGAAGCACCCGGCCCAGACATTGTTAAGTCCATTTACTGATCCTTTGAGGAAGAAGAGGACAATTAGTGTGTCGAATGCGATTGCAACCCCGCCATGGTTTGATCCATCAAAACCCCTGCCCATTGAAGATGTGAAGGCAGTAATAGAGTTTTGCACTACCTAGAAAACCGATATCAGGTTAGGATTCTTTACCTTCGAAATTCAATCTTCATGTTATGCTAGTATGTACTCATATAGTATAGAGAAAATGCATATTTTGCTTTATTATACATGTGTATATTTGTCATGAACAAAGTTAGAATTATGAGATGAGTACAAAATTCACCGTTGCAAGTTTGCCTATTGTAGTGCGGACAACGACAGATTATTGCTTGCAGGTAAACATGTTACCATGTTACATTCACTGCTTCATTTGCTTTCGGTTGTCATTATGTAATATGCCTTCATTTCAATGTCTGCAGCAATTGCTAGAGCCGGTCAAAGCAACTGCCAAGAAACGTGGATCGATGAAGGCAGCTGCTTCAAACATCATTGACCTTCCACCCAGCAAGCTGAACAATTTACATCACTATGTGCACGGTACGTGGCAACACGGGTATGGCCAAGCTTGGACAAAAGTCCGGAAGGTCTATTTTCCATATAATCTTAAAAGGTCCCACTGAGTTGCAATCGAAATTGATTTTGTCAATCATATTGCAACTGTGTATGACTCCTACTCTGATTTTACCGCCCCTTCGAAGCGGGTTAGTCTTCTGTACCCTATTTGCGAGATGCTGGCACGAGTGCTGTACAATATGCACTTTTATGAAGCTTCTGAGGTTGAAGAGGTTAAGCAAAAGGGGCTGCAGATGTCAAGGTTTACACCATTCTCAGTTTGCAGCATTGGAGATATGCCATAACAACAAGATGGGTAAGCTTTGTGAATTTAGTGCAGTTTATCGATATTTTACATAACTGCAGTTCTAATTTCCCAACTTATTGGCCTGACAGTGCGTCTTGCGGAATGATGACCGTAAAATTCATCAACCATCTCAGTGCTGGGATTTCGTTGGATACAGTTGACCCTTTGAAGATCAAATATTACGGACTGAAGCTTGCAATAGAGGGTTTAAGGGGGGAGGCATATGTATGAGGTAAATGTCTTCATGTTTGTGAATTCCATTTAAGTCTGGACTTATGACTTGGGAATTCATTGTGCTCATTAATTATGTCAGGAACTCGTTTATATGAAGATGCAAACGTGGATGCTTTGCTGGAAATTCTTGCCTTTTTGCTAGAGCTAGTTGGTTTAGTTATTATGTGTACCAAGGTGAAATCATTTCCCGGATCTTTAGCCTTGCTGTATATTGTGAGGTGTAATATTGTACAGTCTAGAAGCAATGGCTAATTGCCTTACATGGCACACACATTTTTTCGATTTTGAACGTTACCTATTTTGTACTCCTCCATATATAAATATAGTTGCTCTTTATGGATGCTTTTGTAGCCATTGTTCACATTTTGTCTCTGTGGTTTTGTTTGCACTTTATGTGATATAGGTATATTTCATTTCCTACACTGGGAATCTGTTAGTGGACTTACTGAAGCATACAGCTTTCTTAAGATTTCTGAATTTAGTTTTGACTTAGTTCGTTTGAAATAATTTTGGGAACAATTTTACTTTTCTGCTTAGCATTATGTTGTCATTGGAATTTGGAACCTCATACTGTGTTTGCTGATCTTAGCTGGAGCAGGTACCAATCACTTGTCTTTCATCTTGCATACTGGATTAGTTTCCTTGTGTATTTAGCTGTATTCGATCTGAGTGATTGTTCTCTCTGTACAGGGTATACTAGCACCATCCTGCTTAAGAATGGTAAATTATCTGACTTGATCGGTGAACTTCAGGTACTATTTTCATAATTTTTACTCTGCTTTGCTAGTGGAACTCGTAGCAAATTTTTATTTGGTGTTATTTTTGTATGACTTTGTAATTTTTTAATGCATTTGGTAAACTAGGGTTTTGATCAGTTAGTTTATTTATTTAGGAGCTTGTGTCTTGTTGCTGGAAAAATTGATGGATTTGTGTTTATTTCTGTTTTGTTTGCAGTCTTTGTTGAATGGAACCAGAGAACAATCAGAAGGTGACTTTGATGCGATCACATCACAGGTATTGGAAAAACTGCTATAAAGTTAATGTCCAAGGATGCTTTATCGTGTTAAATTTATGTTATTTCTAATGGATATCAATTTTCCTGTGTTACTTTCTTTTAGGTGCGCCGACTGGCAGCTGAGGTCCGGCAACTTGGCTCGTCATGACAGATAACCGTCGTGAAGGGGAATGACGGCCAAATTGGTATCTTACTTTCTCTTATGTGTTCAAATCAATTCTTAGCATGCTTTGTGCTTTTTCCTCTTGCTTATAACCACTAAATTAATGCATGGTCCTGCCCTTACTTTTAGGTTAAATTCTAAAACCTCTATTCCTTACACGTATGTTTTTCATAATGCAATAGAAACATTTATAATTGGTTATCTATTTTCATTGATTTTTTTAATAGGTTTGACATCACTAATAATGCCAGCAGCTACCCTGGGGGCATTGGGTTATGGTTACATGTGGTGGAAGATATCCAGATGATATATTTATGTTTATATTATTTCATCCATTCTGTGAGTTGTTGTCTTCTTTAAGCAAATCTAATATTTGCTCTTCACAAATGGTTAGGGTCAAAAATTCTCAGATCTTATGTATGTGACAAAGCATAGTATGACTGCTGCTGTTTCAAACTTGCATAAACATCTGGAGAGCGTGACAGAGGCTATTGCTGTAAGTTTCTTTTCTGCTGTCTATGCCAAAAAAAAAAAAAAAAAAAATTCCTGTTTTGTTTGAGTTTCTGTTTATGGGACCATGTTTGTTCCCAACATCAAATTGATTTACAGCACTCATCAATATTACTTATAAAATTTGTATATAAACAATTGAAATGACTGTATTAAACATTCTTATGCTGGATAGAACACAAAGAAGCACCTGACACAGAGAGTCCATAATTTGGACGATAAATTGTTGGAGCAGAAAGAGATCTCAAAGTCGATTCTGGAGAATGTATGTCATTTTTTGCATATTATGAGCTTTTAGTTCTTCATTCATAAATTCAAATTTAGAAACTTCTAGTTCGATGAGGCTTAAGCAAAAACTTCTGACATTATCAATATGGAACTAATAGGATGAATGTCACAGCTGGTTAGGTATCCACTATCCATATGTGATGTGCCATGGCTTAAATGTATGCAATTTAGAATTTTAAAATCCTGCATTCCAATTTCATGTAAATGGTGTCTTGTAGCATACGAAATATATTTTCGGCATCATCTCTATATTTGGTTACAACTTGTGAAACAGGTTGGTGATACGAAAGGAAGTATTGAGGAACTTTATGTTACCCTAACTGAGTTGCAAAGTGCGCTTACTGGTTTGGTGAGTTTTGCTTCAACATGTATTGGTGTAGGCCAAATTTGGTATTTTTTGGAATTCCTAGAGTTTTACATTACATGCGCTCTCTCAGTTTTTTACTTTCCCCTTATGTACTAAATTTCCTTTACATCACTCTCTCTGACACAAATTTTTCTTTGAATTTGTAGCAACTTATCTTACTTTTCCCTGTTGCAGGATTACAAGCTAGGTTCCATTTCAGAAAAGCAAGTAAAACAACTTTATTTTTGTTCGAATAGAGAAGTCATAATTAATTGATGAGCAAGTGTAGTATTTATTAGAAGCCATAATTAATTGATGAGAAAGTGTAGTATTTATTAGAAGCCATAATTAATTGATGAGAAAGTGTAGTATTTATTAGAAGTCATAATTAATGTGCATATAACTCTGTTCTTTCACTAGTCTGTAACACTTTCGTAAGTAAGATATGTCTTTGCTTTAGAGTACTTGCAGTGGATGTTGCATTTATTTCGATACACACATCACTTTATTTATCTTCTTAAGGTTGTACTGATGGAAATGCCTCGTGCAGGATGTTTCAAATCTTGGTCTTTTCTACCTCGTCAACTTTGTTCAGCGAAAACAAGTTGAAATGCCTCAGCAGGCTTGCACCTGTCAGTGTATGGATTTAAATGTGTTATTGACTCTTCAACTTTCATAATATTTTTATATTGTGAAAAATGAGAAGATTATGTTCATTGTATCAAAGTTACCTGTCAGTAATAAGATCATGTCGTAGTGAAAGATAAGTCCCTGCCATCATTTAATCTCACTCTGTTCTTTACCTTTTACTGAGGCATAGTCTTTTATATAGTGTTTTTTGGTATATATGATCACTGCTCTAATTAATTTGGCTACTTGCAGACGAAACTTTAACTTACTGGGAATCCACGTGGTCGTTTAGTGACATATTCAGAAACTCAGAGTCTGATGGTTTGTTTCTAAGAATCTTTTTTCTTTTCTTCTGGTTGCTGACTTTATCCTAGTTGGAAATATTGGACAGAGGTCTGTGCATTTATTAATTATTATGGACTCATGTAAAGCATCTGTGCCCATTGTTTTTCACAACAAAGAAAGAAAATAACCTATAGATTACACTGCCATTAGATGCTAAAATTACTAAAGCATTGATGGAGCGTTATGCTTTAGGTTTGCATTCCCTTTGTTTCCAGTTAATTTTACACCATGAGATTGGGGGAAGGGGGAAAGAGGTCAAATGGGGATTCCTTTAGAGCTATTCCCATTTTATTTTTTCTTTCCAAGATGCAAGCAGGATGCTTAAGGCTACTGAGAATCATATGCCTGTGATTTCTTTCCCATGCCCTACAAAATTTCTTAGATTTATATGGGGGTGGGTTGGGCCATGTTGTGTATGAAGCTTTGTCTGTCTTTAATAATGACATTTCTCTCAGGGTGTAATTCCATTCGGAGCTATCTCATTTGCAATATGTGTTTTTAACTTAGGGGTTTCAGATACTATTATTTCAGCAACTAGAATCTTGATAGTTAAATCCTTAATATTTGCTACTTAATTGCAAACGTGGGTTAGGGTAGTTGGCCAGGGCAGGGAGCCCATCCCCTTGCACCCAAGTTTGAGTACCCCTCCCCATAGATTAGATTAGTTTAGAGTAGTTTAGACTCTCGCTTGTATCCCACCCCTTGCACCCAAATTCGAGTCCCCCTCCCCGTAGATTGGATAAATTTAGAGTAGTTTAGACTCTCGCGTGTATCCAAAAAATAAATTTAAGTCATGCCACTTTCTTGCAGGGTCTAAAAGAAATTGCGGAGTCTTTGTCTGGAACTTTGACTAAGTCAACTGATGCTATTGTGCAAGACGACATTGAAGGTCCAGGAATGAAACTGAGAAACCTGCTGAGGTTTGAATAAGAACTCTTTTATCTAGTATTTCCATCATTCTTCAACGTTGTAATGGAGTCAATCTGCTTGTATGCATATCTGATGCTTTCTGCTGAGGTTCCCATTTATGTCATGCCTCTTTTTTCTTTTTTACTTTGCTCTTTTTCTTTTGGCTTGTCATATATGTTTGCCAGATAGCTGCATTTGGCACTATGAACTGACTCGGTGGCAGTTACAAATTAACATAGGTCTTAATTCTGGAACTGCCATTCATAAACTCTATCTTTGTACTTAACCCAGTTGTTTTTATAGGTCGGTCTCAACCAAGTGTTGATTGCAATATTCTAAAGAAGATGACCATACACTGTTATTTTATGTAGGCATACGTATGAGATGGCTTAACTTTAATTGGTTTGGTTGTTCCAAGTTTTATGTACACAATCTCAGTCACTGCAGAGTTGTTTTTCATTATTTGACCCATATGCTTGGGTTCCAGGAACGGGCTTGAGTTCCAAAGCCCCCAAGTGGCTTTGAAACCTACGTTCCTTGAACCCTCAATGGGCCCCGTGATTGCTTGTCACCTTCCATACCACAACCTTCTCAGTAAGCCCCGGTTGATTTCGTGGCTTGGGCCCACTTAAGCTCGTGACGTAGCTTGGT